GGGGAGGCAAATTTGGGCGCTATTATGAACACCAAAATATTCGTTTATATTAATGCTTTAAGTTATGTACTGCAATTATATACACTGTTTTCAATTTTCTTAATTATTTAATTGATTATATTGAATGTTATTAATTAGATTCATTAACAAAAAGGTGACGATCCTCATTGTTACTTGAACGGTACAAACTGTAATTTCAACGATGCATTTTCCTTAGTGAATCATATATCGAAATATCTAAAATGTTTATTATTTATTATGATCAGAAATGTTTATGCATAACTATAGGATGCATACTTTAAAATCTACATAAATAAATTATTTTAATTGAAATGCAATCTTCTGTTTTTGGCAAGATTGAAAGTGTTTATAGTTTATTTATAGAAGAAAAGGTGATATTATTTCGACCTTAAAAAATGAATTAATTTTTTTTAAACAAATGTGATGACTTCATCTTTAACATTTGTGATAACTTTATAAAAAATATGAACTTTATTAACTGTTCAGAAAGTTGGCAAAAAAAAAATTCAAAAGAAGTCATGTTTGGAAAACAAGTGGTGTTCTTGACAGTTGGCACAGACTTTCTCGTATTAATTTTCTATTTTTTTGGTCTGGGCTAGCTATTCGGACTTTCTACATACTTTTGTATCATACAAATTGTCATAGTTTTCATTCAATACTGTGAGCAACTTTAAAAAAATACAAAAACAAGATTTTCTAAAAACGGCTCCAATTTTTTTTTCCAATATCCCTACCAATAACTTTTGCTAGGGATAGTACTAAATGTACTTTATGAAATGACATATTGCTCTATTCTTTTGTTTTGTCAAAAATGTAATTTTTTGACTTGTCTCTCACATTAATATTTGTATTAGTGGGAATTTTTCTCACATTATTGTATTTGTGAGTTCATGTGCTCTAAATAATGTCATATAAAGTTTCTCGAAAACTCAACAGTTTTCCATGAAAACTAGCACAATATTCCACATTTTCAGAAATGCTCAAATGCCATTTTCTCAAAAATGGCTCCAAAATGTTTTATAAAACTTTTTGAACAGATAGTGCGAATTTCACTCTTTAAAATGAAGGAGAGTTCATTTTGACATATTCTTCTTCTTTGTAATTTTTTCTTCAAAAATTACACTGTAAATTCTTTGTAAGATCTTTCACGCGATTAATATGCATATTTCCAGAAATTTGTAAACACTATTGTATTTGTGAGTTATTGTGCTTCAAATGAAGTTATCCAAAAACTCCACATTTTTCTGTGAAGAAGAGCTTCAAATTTTGTATTTTCAGTAGGGGTTAAGTACCATTTTCTTAGAAACAGCTCCAAATTTTTCAAAGAAAATTTCCATTTAGAACAAGGTTTTACTGTTCTCTAACATTCTTAAAATAATTTTTACATTCAACTACTATGAAAACGAAAGTTAATAAAATTTCAAAAATATGGAGTTTGGGCGGTGATAAGATTGCAGCTCGCAAGAATATATGGCAAGTTTGTATGAGTAATATGAACAAATAAATTGTCTGCAACACAGCACATGAATACCAAATATTTAATGGCAATGTCCTCTTCCTCATAACCTTCCCATTACATGTTAGGCATCATAAGCAGGGACACATATAGTATGAGAATGTAGTCAATACGACAAATAGGGAGTATAACACAGTCAAATGTTGGCATTTTTGAGTTAAAATCGAAACTGTTTTTCATATTTTCCCAGAGGCCCTGGGTTTGTCTTCCAATTGCTGCAGGCATTGAAATTAATATGTTTTGTATTTTTTAAGTATTTGGGTATCTAGCGAAACCATAGACTCTGCTAACAATGGCCAAAGACTGCATAGGTTTCTTTTGCCATATTTTGGCATAATTAAATATTTTCATACATTTTACCTATTGTTACACATTTTGTTATTATATGTATTAATATATTTACCTTTAGAAACAGAATATTGAAGATATGAGTTTGAAAATAAACTTTCCTGGAATTGTCTTTCTTTCAAAAAAACAAATACTGCCCTTCTACCTCATGAACTTGTGAATTGTCAAACTCGCACAAGCTTCTCTGAAATTGCATACTCGGCATCAGGGAATGCATGGATATAAGTGGAAGGGAAGTAATTAATAGGCAACCACATACATGTTCGTGTTTCATGCAGCCCATACATAACTTGATTGTAACAATGTAACGTGACAAATATTTCATACAGACTGTTGTCTTATCGTGTTTCCAGTCACCCCTATGTCAGAGACGCAAATTTCGGAACCTATTCATGATGTTCCACCTGCTCGAGCTCAATGGATATATTCCTTTGGTATGTACGCAATCAATGTGTGGTGCATTTTCAGTAAATTGACTCCAAATGTAATGATGGTTTGTACTTTTCCAGGTGCATCATATACTTTGATCATTCATCCTGAAAGTGTTGTCTGTTGTATCTATGGGGGTACCAGCTCAACTGGAACATGAGATTCGGCACTGACCTACACATCACTTACAGGTTTATTCCTCCTTCAAGTATTCTTCCCAGGAGGCAAAGCTCCAAGTTTCCAACATTTGTGGTAGTGTCATGAATGTAAAAATGTGCTTCTGGGGAGAGTAAGGGACAAGCGTGAGGAAGGAAGGGTGAGGAGTGCATGCAGACCATGGCCTGTTTGGTAGAGCATTCATCTCATTCTGATAAGAGAAACGATGAATAACTACCAATCAGAGCAGCAAGCCACTAGTATTTTCTTCCCGACAGTAGTTGTATTCAACCCAACAATCCATCTAGAGTTGAAAATTTGCCATTATTGGGTCTTGAAATACTTTGATCCTCCGGTCATCAATGCTGCAGAAGCTACATTCACAATGTTGTATTTGGAGATGATGGATTTGGGGTCCCTTATCATCCATTCCAATCCATAATTGGCTATGCAATGAGAATGTTCTCCTGCTTCTCATGTGTATTTGTGGATTATAGGTGTGCATTTTATATTTTGTACAAAACTCATTGTGTGAAGACTTTTGTTTAATTACTTCTGTAGAGGTAGAACATTCATAACCATTATAAGCTCTCATCAACAGCATTTTGTATTAAAAAATGTGAAAATACTCAAATGGAGCAATTTGAAACACAATCACAAATTTTTATTTTACACATTTTCTATTTTTCCATACATATTTTTGAAAAAATAAATATATATTATGTACATATTTTGAATTTTTTATTACAATAAATTCTCCCCTACATACTAATACAAAAAATTTAAATACATCAGAAACAAATCGTCGTTACACCTGCAAAATCCGCCATGTGAAGTGACCTTAGTAAGGAAAAATGAGCCAAAAAAACAGGCGTGTTTCATTGAAATTTTGGAAATGAGCGTGTTCCTTCAGGTTAATTTTCTCTTACTAAATTCAGTTCACATGGCCTTTTTTGCATGCACAACGTTGAAATACTTTATTTTATAAAGACAAAGATTTGCAATGTTGTCATTTACATATAAAAATGTAGTAATAATAAAGACATTAAAAACAAAAAATTAAAATTACTATGATCGTAAAATATGTTTCAAGTAAAAATTAAATTCATATTTCATTCTGATTTTGGGATCTTAAATTGAATACAATATTTTATTTCAAGTGTCCTTTGAATCCAGTGATAATGACAATTCCCCATTTTTTGATGTAAAGAAGTTGTAGATCTTTTTACTTAATTCCGGACCTACCCTACGGACAGAAGTCAGTGGCCCAGCACAACGCCGTACCTGAAATCAAAAAAATAATGACAGCTTGAAGGAATAAATGGGGACATTAGTGTCACATACAAAAATAATTCAAATGAATTTGTAATTTTTTAAATAATATTGGAAATGCAGGCAGACAAGTCTTGAACCTCTCCGGGAAATGAAGGTCGACAACTCTGTCTGTGTGTGCCTGTGATACTGGTCTGTGTGGGTGCGTGTGTATCTGTGTCTGTGTGTGTATATATGCAAAATGCCTTTTTGTTATTGTTAATATTCTATGACATTTAACAAAAGGAATTACTTAATTCTACTTCTGGAGTAGTTTTAGTAGAATTATTTTGCACTTTTCCTGCCCATTTTTTTCCATTTAGTCATATTTGGGTCTTTTTCTACCATTTCTCCGTTGTTTTTTTTTCCCTTTTCTTTTTTCTTTCCACCGACACCTATCTTGACGAAGCTGGATGTAAACCCACAAGCTTGGGCAATATGAAGGCATGATCTTGGTTGGTCTTTCAGTGAAAGCAGAGGTTGTGTCAAAAATTTAAATGAAAAAAGAAGATGATACTGGTATATATTTTTAATTTTTTCCTTACTGCTTACACAGTAGAGAGAAAGTTACATAATGCTGCACGAAAAAACGGCGAATTTTCGGCAGTACAACTCTTTATTACAGGGCCCAGGTAATGAAAAACTGAATGAATCCAATTGCTAAATTTAGGGGGGGGGGGAATTCTCTAACACTTGGTGTAACCAGAATCCATGTTTTGTGTGTCCTTGATATAAAAAAAAAAAACGATTGACAGTAAAACGTCTGTCTAAAAAACGTTAGCGGCTAAATTGTTGGGTCGATTTTCTCCAAAATTGTATTTCCTCAATCGATGTGGCTGATGTCATGGCCCCTTGAATTTGAAACTCATATTTTAATTTTTAGGGGTGCTACAAAGCCCATGGGACATTTTCAAAATGAAAAAGGGGAATCTTTCGTTTTCTATTAAATTTTGTTTTTGGATAATTTGAAGGTCGTTTACAAGAACAGTGCAGGTCTAATTTTTGTTTGAAACACTGATTTTTTGAAAGTTGCAAATATTCAAAACAATTTCGGTGTCTTCCTTCAACTGAAATGTTAAAGATAATGTTTTTTTTTCGCCTTAATGAAATCTGTTCCTTCAAGATAGATTTTGAAATAAAGTCACGTACAATTTTTCTCCATCTGGGGAGTAAATGATCTTGTAGCTGGTGGCGGAGCTTGAGTAACCCTGTGACCCTGAGAGCTATGCCGCCGGTAGTGTAGCTTCCGATATGGCCTTCCTTGCTAGACAAGTCAAAGGGGAGGGGTCAGACTAAGAAGTACTTCAGAAGAGGACCTCAACGGCTGCTTCGTCGAAGAAGAAAAGACAAAACTGGTGGAAGAAGACTCCTTAAAGGGTAGGGGAGGCTCTCTGGGTGAAACCGACTTCCCTAAGGGAGAAAACCCTGATATGAAATCCTGCTGGCTCAAAAGCAGTGAAGTGGCAGCCCCACTACTGAGAATACCCTGCACGGCGCTCATAATGCGGTCAGGGGACATTTCAATTACTAAAAATCTTCACATAGATAAGCTGGATAAATCCCATATACGACAACAGAAGCAAGAAAAAGACAAGCGATTCGGAATAAAGGATAGATTAAAAGTTGCCACATGGAATGTAAGAGGTTTAGATCCAAAAGAAAAAGAACTCAATGATGAATAAAAGGAATGTAGCCTTAATATAGCCATTTTAACAGAAACGAAGAAAAAGCTTCAGGGAACTATAGATCTTGACGATTACACAATGAACTATTCTGGAGTAGACCAAAGTCAAAGAGCAAGGAGTGGAGTAGCAGTATTGATTGATAGGAAATGGACCTCTAAAATAGTAAGTTATTGTTATGTAAATGAAAGAATATTAACAGTAAGATTAAAAATAGAGAGAGAACATCTAAATGTGGACAGAGTATATGCCACAGAAGAAGGGAAAAAAGAAGAAACTATAACTTTTTATGAAAATCTACAGAAAGTTATTTCCCATATTAATAACAAAGATAATTGGATAATTAGTGGAGATTTAAATGCAAGAGATGGAAACAAACCAATACCTAAAACAGTAGGGACCTTTGGAGAGCATACAATGAATAATAATGGTACAGAATTAAGGAATTTTGCCACCTATAATAAATTAAAAATAACCAACACATTCTTTAGATATTAAGATATTCATAAATATACTTGGAATGCTAGAGGATGGGGATCACTCATAGATTATGTTATAGTTAATGAGAAATTATCAACCCTAATTCAAGATACAAGAGTTTATAGAGGCAAAGATATATACTCAGATCACTGGTTGTCTCAACTATTAAATTAGTAAGTAGATGGAAAAATCTAAGCACCAACAATAAAAACAATATAGAAGAAGGTTTTAAAGTATATCTGCTACAAGAAGAGAGTATTAAAAAGCTATATCAACAGAGACTAGATAATTACTTAGAAAATACACCAACAAGCGATAAAGTAGAGAAAGAATGGGAAAATATTAAAACCTGCATAGAAAAAGCAGCTTTTGAAAGCCTAGGAAAGAAAAAGAAGTTCAGAAAAAAGAAAGTACTCAGAGTATGGAATGAAAGAGTATTAAAGAAGCAGTGGCAGAGAAAAAGAAAGCATACTTGAAATATCTTCAAACACGAAATGAAGAAACTAAGAAAGAATATAACTGGTATAGAAATGACGCCAAAAGGCTATCTCATATCAAATCACTTCATGTGTGGGATCACTTCATGTGTGGGATCACTTCATAAATAGAATAGAAAGTGAAATTCATGGGAAGCAAGTACTAGCCTATAAAGTAATGAGACAACTCAATCAAAAAGAAAAAGACACTGTTTAATTGAAAATTATAGATGAAGAGAAATGGCTACAACACTAAGAATCTATGGTTCAGCCCACTGAAAGAACATGAAGAACAAAAGAAAGATAATATTGATCCACTAACAATAGAAGAATTATTACAAGTATTAAAAGAAATGAAATGTAGAAAAGCTACTGATATAGATAATATAAACATAGAATTACTAAAATATGGAATTTTCTCCATTTAAGACTGTTACATCTATACAATCAATGTTGGCTAAGAAGTATGATACCAGAAGAATGGCAAACAGCCCTAATAATATCTGTGTTTAGAAAGGTGGATCAAAGAAGCTATGAAAATTATAGAGGTATTAGCCTCTTAAACACAACATATAAAATCTACAGTAAAATGATCCAAAAGAGGATTAAGACGATAGCTGAAGTTATATTGTTAGAAGAACAAAATGGCTTCAGAAAGGGAAGATACTGCGCAGATAATGTTTTTATTTTGAACCAAGTAATAGAGAAAAAAAGAGTTTAATTTAGACAGGCATTTTGCATTCACTCATTTTAAAAAAGCCTTCAACTGTGTAAACAGGAGAAGATTATGGGCCATAATGGATCGAAGAGGCTTTCCAAAACATTTAATAAACAGTTTATATAAAAATACAAAAATCCGAATAAAAATAAATTCACAACAATCACAACCATTAAAAACTAATCAAGGATAAAAACAAGGTTGCAGTCTTTCCCCAACATTATTTAACATCTGTATAGATGATATTCTTAGAGAATGGAAATTAAAAGTAAAACAAGGGATCAGATTGAATGGAAATAATTATATCAATACTCTGCTATTTGCTGATGACCAAGTTATTATGTAAGGAAATTGATCTCCAAATAGCACTCCATCAATTAAATCTATTGTATAAAAATTATAATATGAAAATATCAAAACAAAAAACGAAGGTCATGGCTTTTAAAGGAGTCTATCTAATTAGAACAAAGATATGCCTGGAAAACCAAACAATAGAACAAATATCACATTTCAATTATCTGGTACGGATATAAGTTACAACTGGAGCCAAAATATAAAAAATAAATTGCACAAGTTCCAATTTATATGCAGCACGCTACATAGAACATTAAGAAATAAGTCTAGAACATTAAGAAATAAGACTAGAAAAGACACTATGTTAAAATTTTATAAAACAATGGCAACACCAGTAGTCCTGTATGGGAGTGAAAATTGGATTCTATCTCAAAAAGAAAAAATGAATACTCAAGCTACAGAGAAGAAATTTTTAAGGAATAATTAAAAGGTTGTACTTTGCTAGACAAACAAAGAAATGAAGACATAAGAAAAAATTAAATATATTTAGTCTAAATGATAGAATACAACTATACAAACAAGGCTGGAAAAAACATTTAGAAAGAATGGAGCACAATTGGCTACCTAAACAAGTGCTGCAGTGCAACCCGACAGGAAGCACGCAGAAGATGGTTTGATGTGTGAAGCAGAACAGGCAGCCGCCTAATCCCTGAAGTGCAGAAGAAGAAGAAGACAATTTTTTGAAAGTTGGTGTACTTTTTGCATAATTTTGCACGAAAGTATGGGCTTAAAAGTACTTGCTGTTTAACACCAATAGTTTTCATTGATGCTGACAGGCTTTGATCGCTCACAAAGAATCCTAACCTACTTTTGAGTATGGCATTCAGTACCTTTTCAGGACAGTTCTCTGTGTACCCTGGCAATTGCACAAGGGCGATGAACAAATTATATTTCCATTTTCACTTATGCCATTTGAAGATACACAAGAGTCCACAAAATAATTTCGAAGAAACAGCATCGCAAGAAAAACAAGTTCATAGTCATCATAACGGATGGTGTGGAATCAAGATTTCAAAGAAAACATCATTTCTCTACATGTTAAGTTTGGAATTAGAATCAAAATATGTATCATTTTAATTATTTTTTTTACAGTAATACCATTTAAATGTGATTTTTCACTGTTATTAGAAGGGGGCAGATTTGGATGACCTAAAACATCACCAAACATGATCAGTAAAATTCTCTTAAAATGTTTTTATAGTGGCTTTAAAATGTTAAAATGTCCTAAAACCACAGAAAAATTATGTAAAAATTTAAGTTCTTAGATATGTTACTGATGTAATCGAGGCTTCTTCCGCTTGTTCAAGTGAACTCAGCATGCAAACATTTGATTTGGCTTGTTAATTTGGAAATCTATCTTTAGTTATCATGAAATCGATTGAACAAACAATGGTGTTAGGCATGACAGGAACCTTAAATTACATACTCACAACGACTGACATTACAATTTTGAGCAAAGAAATCAAATAGGCTAGTCAGGAATTTGGTGGCGAACATTTGTTATTGTTATTGTTTGGGGGAGAACATTTGTTATCAACATTAAAATTGATGACATAAGCAAAAAATGCATAAAAAATAACCGAAAAATGTAAAAAATGACTTATTAGTCACAATCGATGATAAATGCATTTTATTTATTTATTTAACCTTAAGCATTTAACCTTATTTATGAAAATGAGTTATTTCCTTTCGTCATAACTTAAAAATTAATTTCTGTTCGAAATGGCATTGTTCTAAAGTGAAAAGAAAAAACAAATGACATTTCATTAAAATGCGCCCTCTACTTATATGCCTTTTGCACCCTACTTTAGCTAGAATAAATGCCTTTTTTCATGCCTATTTTAGTAAAAATAAATACCTTTTGCCAGCCCATTGTAGGTAAAATAAATGCCTCAACCTCCACACTCTAGTAATAACATTAAGATCACTGCTTTTGATACATTTTTTCTTCTTTTATTAGTGGTCTGTATATTCATTTCTGAATGTTTTCTTCTTTTATACTTTCTAACTTAGAACTTATCTCTAATGTAATTTATACTTATAATGATAAATTATAAGTGTTCTTCAACATTGATCCAATGTTAAAATAAGTTTGACACTCGTAATACAAGGACACAACGTGTTCAATGGAACTTTCATAACATCTTCTAAGCAACTTCATTAGTTAAGAAAGTGCTTGAGAGAGTAATGTGTTTCAACACAACTCTACTGAGAAAGCAATCATCTAAACTTCTATTAGCAAAAGAATGCAGCAGGCAAGTAGGTAGGTAACTGCTAAAACACAGCCTCATCAACTTCAAGTTTGCACTCTCTCTACAGTTATGACAATTTCCTACCTCCCAAAGTACTATTTGACTCATTGCTGACCTCAATCTTCAATGTTTGGAAAACAAAAGCTCAGTATTATATGCATATTATTTTATTAGAGGAAAACTCACTGCAATATCTTGAAGTAATAGTTGTCCTTGTCTTGGAGTTAAACAGTTTTCATATGCCTGAAAGCATTACAAATTTCTTAACAATGTAGATAAAAAGTAGTATTACTTAGGTTACTTCTATCACATCTACAAAACTTCCATGTAATTAAAAATAAATTTTAGTAAATAAAATATTTATTAATAGAATATTGATAGAACAGAAAGAAAGGAATTATAAAAGAGAATTTGAAAATTTTATAGCAGAGGAAAGTTTTCAAATCAGTTAATAAATTTAGCTGAGTACCCTGATGTCAATGGATTTATTAGGCAACCCACATTACAGTTTTACACTCCTTTTCCTGTAACAAGGCAAAACTGTATTGTCCCCATGACAATACAGTTTTACACTGTTTTTTTCTGTAATTGTCAGAGGGGGGAGAGAGCACATGGATTTATTTCATTAAAGGCAAAATTAGAACCATCACAATAATGACCACATTTCTTTCAGGTGTTTAAATGGGCATGTACAATACAAAAGTGAGGATTGGAATAATAATTCCATAATCCCAGTTATATTAGATACTTGAGAACATTTTATTGCAATTCTCATTTTGAATAAAGAATGATGGCATTTACAAATGGACATTGTTCACTTGTTATTACGATTTTTGTAGACAATACAAAATATTTTATTTAAATGTTGTTCAGTCCCTTTTTTTATTTATTAGGACAACCACAATATATACTTCCAACAGTTTTTTAAATCATCATATTATTTTAGTTTATGTCATCAGATGAGGTTTTGAAGACTGTTGTCCCCTTTATCAAGTACAACTGAAACTTTATTCATAAAAATAGTTCAAAAGATGAAGCAAAAATGAATTTCACATTATTTATAAAAGAAGGAAGAACATAAAAATTACAAAAATAATAACTAAACCTCAACTGTACCCAATTAAATGAAAGCTCACCTGTTTTTATATCTTGAAAAACTAAAAGTAATATATCCAAAACATATACAAATTATTCAAAAACGTATTTGATTTTAAGTACATGGAAGAGTGCAGACCAGTCACATGACTGTTAACCGTTTAAATAGAGTTGTTGCAAATATTAAGGAGTAACGGAACTGAGGAGAGAGATGAAAGATGTAATTTAGAAATGATTGATTCTAATGTTAAAAAGGGGGGATGTTTTATTTCTGAAAAATATTTAGTATGTTGTAATAAATCTTTGTAAAATGATGGTATTCTATTGCAGTATTCATACTATTCTGAGTTTTTATATTCAAAGTTTCTGGTATTGGTCTCTTATTTCTGTTGGGTTCTACCGCTAAAATACAAAACTTTAGGTTAATTCTGTGTTGGAATATTGAATTCTGCCGATTTGTAACTTCTTTGATATTTTTTCTATGTTCTGTTATTCTGTTTCATTTTTCTGTTTGACCACCATAATTCAATTCACAGTCATGATACATTGAATTTACATTCAACTACATAAACTGTATCCATCATATCATGTTTAGGTACTCTGTACATTTTTTATAAGATTCTGTTTCTTAATTATTGTACTTTTAATGTTGATATTGTACCTGTTCTTGTATCGTTATGGTCAGTGATTTTACAAATGAAATAATTAGGTTAGGTATATTTTGAATAGATTTGGATTAGATTAGGTACATATAATATAAATAGGTATAAATATAAATACATCAGATATATATTAATGTATTTTCTTGAGGAAAAATTTTTCATTCAAATTTTTAGACTATTTATTGGAGCTTTGTTTGTAGTCAGTCCTGTCAGTTTGTTTGTAAGATGCCTATTAAAACTATATTCTCTACAGAATTAAAATTTATAGGTTTTACACACAGAAGACTTTGTATAGATAGTGGATATTCCACTACTGTATAATACAGTAGAATCAAAGAAACTGTCTAGAGCATTAGTATAGGAGTAAGAATCTAAAAGTTGCATGGAAATCTGAATATGACAATGAAACCTCTTAAAGCTCAAACTTAAATCACCAACACATTGGAATTTTTGATATGATTATGGACATCAAAATTCTATTAGCTAGTACCTGAATAAGTGACTTTGGAGAAGGATAAAGAGAAACAATAGCTTCTGCTGTGTCAAGGCTAGCTGTGTTGAATTGACATAATTGTTGTTTCCATAATCTCAAAAGTCCATTACCACTTTTATCTACTTTCACTGTGTCTCGAGAATCTCCAGAAGCAAACCACCCCAGGTTTTCCTGTTCCTTCTTCTGTTTTTCAAGTCTACAAAGAGATACATGCTCTTTAACATACAAAATAACTGAAAAAATAGAAATTACAGTACTTGTTGCTACATAATACTTACAATATACATTATATTATTTATATTTTAACTAGGGATGCTACAGAAAGGCCCAGACTTCATCGTATTAATTAGTTTTCTAATTTTTTTTTATGTGGGCCGGATTTATAAATTTACAATCATGCCAGCCGACCATCTAACACTTCCAAATACTTCAGGAAACTGAAGAATTTTCTCAATTTTTCAGATTCCTAAAGTAGAACCGGAATATTACTTCAAGAATATTAAAGAAGGATAAAGCCTTATCCTATATGGAAATTTTTGGGGCCATTTTTAATTAAATGGCATTTACACTTTACTGTAAATGTGAAATTTGAAGGGCTTTATCACAGGAATCTTCTGACTTTTCGAAAAACTTCATTGGAAGCTGTTTGAAACACTTCCACTCACAAATGCAATAATGTATACAAATTGCTGGAAAATAGCATATTAACAGCAGGCGAGATACTTTTAAAAAATGAACATTTGTATACTTTTTGAAAAAACAAAATAATATAGAAAAATAACTATCTCATCTTAAACAGTGCAATTTTTAAAAAATAGTGTTTGAGCATTTTAAAAAATGTGGAATTTTGAGCTCATTCTCACAAAGAAAACTTTTGAGTTTTCAAGAATTTTATACGATGTTCTATAAAGCACATGTATTCTTAAATGTAATAATGTGAACAAATTGTCCCTAATGACATGAGAGACACATAAAAGAAAATGAATTTTTGTAATTCTTGAAAAAACAAAACAATGAAGCAAACTAACATTCATGTCATGTAATAGAGTACATTTAGCACTATCCTATCAAAAGTTTAAAGAAAAATTTGGAGCAGTTTTTGAGTAAAACCTGTTTTTGTTATTTTTTAAAATTGCACAAATTGCATGCAACAGACGGACATTTTGTTGTCAATTGATTTTCCGCTTTCAAGAACGCACAAAACTGTGATTCTGGCTACCCCACGTGTTAGAGGGTTTTTTCTTCTAAATTAAGCAACAGGATTTATCCGCTTTTTGAATAGTGGGGCGCTGTAATGAGAGTTTTTCTGCAAAAAATATGCTGTTTCTTCACACAGCATTTCACAACTTTCTTCATACTACGTATATTACTCTTACTCTTTATATTACATACATATGCGAGAAAGTAATAATTGAACTAAAAATTTTAAAAGACTGTCTTTGTAAAGGAATTTTATTATTGTTTTCTTCTTTTTGTCCATTTAGTACTTGACGTACTGGCATTCTCACTGAGAAATGAGTATTTGGTATTTCACATATAACTCCCTATTTTACAAAACATGACTGGCATACATATTTATATATCACTTACTTGAATTCCTTCTCTGCTAAGGCTTTTGTAAATTGGGCAATAAGAGTACCGAAATCTTGCGATGTTTCTACAAATCTATGAGAACAGTTCTCAAATATCTGAATTTCAATCAAAGCTTTTTCTATATCGCTTTGACAAACTTGATTTTCTACATTCTGTTTCTCTTTTGCTCCTGACCCTGTGCGACATTGAGTTTTGAATTTCCGTTGTTTTTCAATATTCTGCAACCTAGAAATGTTATTTTCATGAACATGAACAGAAACTATGGAATCATAAATATTGATTATATATTTTTGTGTTATCCGCATAAGTATTTTACCTGTAATATTCTCCTAATTTGTAAATAATTAATATCAATCTTTTCTTCAAATGTTGCTTAGCAATATTTTGAATATAGCTCCGCAATTTCATTTCCCTGACAAGTTGAGTTAGTTGATTTGACATCATAATAATAAGGACAATATTCTCTTCTTTCAAATTAGTGCTGGAAATTACCTAGTTGTTTGTTTGATTAGTATAATAAATCTACATTCATATTTAAGAATAATTTTCAATACATCTTTTAATATTTACCTTCCCGTCATCATCACAATGGTAACTGTAGACTGTTTTTACCCACGTAATTATTTTCTCACTCAACTGCTCTTGAATGCTGTACTGAATCTGACCAGCTTGAAGTGCAGAGAGTAAATTTCCACTATATTCTTCTGTTAATAATCTCTGATCAATTAAAACTTGAATATGCTACATGCCAAACAGAATAAATAAACACATGCGCACACACTGATTGTATTAAAAACAAATGAAGGGGCCAGGAGAAAACACTACTAACCCACATATCCACAAATTTTTGGCAGCCAGAGGAAGAACGATATTTTAGTACAATGAGACATGTCTTATTTTCTATATACACTTCTGGGAGCTTTCTATACAAATGAACACTATGAACACATTTGTTCAGCATTTCAATTGTAATGTTTGTTTTTAAGAGACATTCTAAGACCTTTGGTTTGGATTTATGAAATGTGGGATAGCACTTTCTACTCCCAACCCCACAAATTACAAAAAGGTCAATTCAGTAGAATCTTCAATATTAGATGAATCGACAGGAAAAATTCCAATTTAACCCTGGATAATTAAAATATTTTTTGATTTAAATGAGTTAATTAAAAGATGTATTATGAAGAAATGATAAAAATGATTTGTGAAATAATTAACAATTTAACAACGTATGAATACCCATACATATTAAGTTATTCTCATCAACTTAATACAGACTTTTATTTGCAGAAAGAGTGACTAGTTTTTTATTTGTTTACTAAGTTATTTTCTTTCTAATTACTGTCCTAATTTTCCGCATTTCCATTCATAACGGGGAAAAAGAAGATCACAATTTAACCTATAAGGCTTATGAAAGCGGTAATTCATACTTCATAATTTCCCTGCGATTGTCAGTCCTCCAAATCATTTGTCAAACAAATGTCACATATTCACTAACTTTTTCTCACACAAAGTGCATAAATAATTCATAATACTACATTTTCAGAAGCAGAAGAAACTGAAGCAAGAGAATTGGAATCTGTGATAAACAATAAAAGATTTTCAATACAAAGTATGCCTTACTGATCACAATAATCATAACAATATGATCCACATCAAAGAAATGGCATGAAGAAATGTCAGAAATAATTTATTTAATTTGATGGAATATATTTCTTGAATATGATATCAATCAGATTACACAATACTTCATCAATACTTCCTCTTCATGGCATGAAGAAATGTCAGAAATAATTAATTTAATTTGATGGAATATATTTCTTGAATATGATATCAATCAGATTACACAATACTTTCATATATTCTTCTCTCTGACACCACAAATGACATACGGACTTCCAAAACCACTTGCTGTAAGAGCCCCTACTTAAGTTCATTCATTAAATAATTTGAGCCTCTATACGTGAGCATTACTAGTAAATACCACAGCCAGATCGGTATATTAGTTTCAAATCAATATGACTTCAATACAAAATGTTTTGTAATAAATTTGCATAAATTTAATTTTTAAGTAATACTTGTGAAGTCACACTTAAACGTTCTCTCAGAAAAAAGATGGTTATTTTATGAAGTTGATACATCCTTAAATGACCTCTTAGTGATACAGTATGTAGCATGCATTTTGCATCATTATAGTTTACTTACCGCTTTCCTTTATTACTTAACAGTACTAAAAATATATAAATCTTTACATACTTTCATACATTCACCAGGTCTATTAGCTTTCTGGGCTTCAGACGCAGCTTTCTTCAAAGCCTTTTCACGTGCCTTTTCTACCATTTTTTCTTCCTTCTCTTTCAAACGTCTTTCACGTTCTTCTTGCAATGATTTCTTTTTTGATGTTTTGCTTTCTTGAGCACTACACTTCTAGATTCAAATTGAAAAACAAACTATGAATTAGCAGTAACACACACCGCCAGAGAATTAAAATAAAAAATAAGTGTATCTTACGTCATCAGAATTATTCAGTACTTCAACATTTATCAAATCCTCTTTCACTTGTGACACATAACCTCTTTGGGTGTAAGTTTCTCTGAAAATTAAGAATTACGAATAGTAGACCTAAACATAAAGCTAAAAGATATACTTTTTAAACATCAGCCCTTCATGATGGAGAAAACATTAATGGGGTGTAACTTACTCAATTTGGTAGAATTCAAAATCTCCGTCATTTTCAGTAATCTTGACTACCGATTCACACGAATTTTTATTTTCCAAAACTGGTGAACACTCGTTGTCTGATTCGTCACTACTAGAAAAATTGTGTATTGGTATTTTGTTAACTGTAGATTTTATCAGGAAATCTCTTATCTCTGCTATATTCGCACCATCTGGTTCAGTACTTTTGTTGCTACCCGGAGAATTTGCAATTGGCGAAGGAGGGGAGCTTGAATCACTAGACAGTATTACAACTTCCATTGAAACTCAACAATTAGAAAAGTTCTACACGATATGTAATAGCAAAAGTTCATATCCTGCTCCAAGTGGAGATTATTCTCGCAGGCTCGAATTCAGGCTCCAATTCAATCTTTCCCGCCTCCCTCTCTCCCTCAAAGAGTAAAATCAGAATGTATTATCCGCGCACGTGTTCTTGGGCACTATCAAAGAGAACTATTGAGTCGCCAACGAAATACACAGTCCAGTATACTAAGTGGAGTAGCCCCAAAACGTGTAACGTATCTACTGTTTGTGTACACTTTGTTTGCTCCTGAACAATAATAACAACAATAATAATAATAATAATAATAATAATAATAATAATAATAATAATAATAATAATAATTCCGTGGGAGTAGCTGGTCTCCTATCGGAGACCCATTCTATTATTATTATTATTATTATTATTATTATTATTATTATTATTATTATTATTATTATTATTATTATTATTACTGTCCGTGACTGAGTTCCCGACCGCGGTGCGGAAGGGACGTAGGCCTCTTCCCAGAAACGGAGGGGTGGCGAGGAAGACACCCGGCCGACGACATACTACTAGCCGCGCAAAAAACTTTTTGGCTTTTTTTTTTTTTTATTTCACGATCGCGGACGTTTTCTTGCATGATTATTTCAGCATCGAACTTACCTTATTCGGAATCTGATGATGATCCGCAGGCTTCACTCTCTGACGTATCATTGTTGGGGTCCAAATTAATAATTATTTCGTCCGGCACAATTACCATTTTCTACCAATAGTCATTTACTATTTTTGCCACATGGCTTCAAAATCCTTGCCTGTTCTGAACAGTGACTTCTTGCATTGCAGTTTCAATGTTTTCTTGAAACTTGTTAACTGACATATTACCTGTTACATTTCGCTCTTTAAATATTCGCTTTACTTTCGCCCAAGCAAGTTCAATTGAGTACATCTCACACATGTAGTGAGGAAGTCGTACAACTGTACGGCCGTGTGTTGTTAACAACTCATTGGTCTTGCACTTCTTAGCCCGTGGTTTGAGAGGTGCAATTAATAGGTACAAATCAGTCTTACGCATACTTTCTTCACAATATCTTTGAAGCCATACAATCATGTCAGCTTTTCTTGAGTATTCGGGCGGCGTCTTGTTGACTTCCATCCTGTGGTATGGAGCATTATCAAGGACAACAGCATGCTCAGGTAGATGTGGCAATAATTTTTTACGCACCCATTTTTCAGAATGAATGCCATTTATTTGGCCGTGGTTGTCTCCCACAGTACTACCAGCTCGAAAAATTAGACACGTGTTGCAAAGAAACCCATCCCCCCCTCATGCGTGAACAATTATTAGTCGACTTGTTGCATTTCCCATCACTTAGACATCACAAACGTCACCACTCTGCCAGCACATTTGAAATTTAATGGTGTTACCAACCCATGTCTCATCCACTTAGACGATATCCTGGTTCTCTCCTAAAAAGTGTTTCAATTGAACAATGTATCTGGATCTCCAATCCACTATGTCCGGTCTGTCTATCAGCACCCGCCACTTTGATTGACACTTTTTCCATTTAAAACACATTGATTTCATAACCCATACAAAATATTTTTGGCCCCAAGGAAAATTAATTTTGCTCTTAACAATTGGAAGAAGCTTTAGCAGCATCGACACTATCTTTTCTCTTATGTAGAAATCTAGAATCGTATTTCGAATGGCACACTGGTCAAAACTATCTACATGGACAGAATTTCCGCGTAACACTATTCTCTTCTTACCAGGAGACTTCAGCTTCTGATTTGGGCTATTCTCATTCCTCTTTTTATTTTATTTTATTTTATTTTTTTCTGAATGGCTTTGATGGTGGTGAGTCCAACTCCTGAGTATTCGGAGGCCCTTTTATTAAAGGTCACTTATCACATATTTTAATCACACGGGCAATGATTTCGCGGCACTCGCTGTGTATAGTAGTATTAATAACTCTCTTTTCCATAACGAGAAACTAATGGTTTTCACGCGTTAACACTCGATTCCTACCACAAGCGAACTAGCCGCACCGATGTTCTAGGAACGATTGCGATTATGTCACGTGACGCGCGTTGCAGTGAAAGCCATGCCCTCCTTCCCTGCCCCTCGCCCCGCACGGAAACTATGACCCATCTCCGGCGATCGGAAAACTGAGACCCGGACAGTACTTCGTGAGTGGTCCATAGAGTTTCCCAATGAAGCCAGTGAGTTCGCGCGGCACCCTTATTGGTACACCCATTTCGGCTTTGCCGCGTCTAGCACGACGAAGTGCTGAATTTCATTTCGTAGGTATTTAGAAGAGCTTGTCGTGTGGTAGTGATTGCCTATTGATAGTGACTGGTGTATTGAACGTGCCATGCTCACTTGCGTTGCATTTCGCAAAAACTCCTGAGTTTCATAAATGCTCAAAGCCTAATGCTCATTGACTTACGATACTATTTTGTACGAAACTGCTATCTTAACGGTCGAATTTCCATTGGTCCCATTGAAGGAGAAAATCAGTTGTCCCAATCTTACGAAGCCCTTGGATCGTCAGCGATTCAAGCATCTATGTATGAACATTGGTCTTCGTTCAGGAAATGTACTGGCTATGCTTTAGTTGTCTTTGTTAATTTTGTGTTTGTACAGGATCATCCTACTTTGTTAGGATCAAGCAGTGGCGGCTAGTGCTTAGGTTGCACAACCACCAGATAAACGAGAAATATCTTAGAAATATACATTTGACGTTTCATGACATTCAACATTCAAGATATTGCACCAATATCGATGGTGTCTATGGTGCCTGGTGTTGCACCACGCTCTCGGCTCTGCTGAATTACTAGGTTTATTGCATTTACTCTTTGGTACTTCGATTTAACACAGACAGGATGCCAGCATTTTGTTGCCCAAACAACTGGTGGCGCTGCCTAGTGTTGCTCGGCGACTGAGGGAGTCACAGGGGAATCCCAATATTTTGTCGTCTAACTCGTGTGGATGGAGTGCTCCACAAGGGAAATACGAGTTAGCAATCCATACGAATACTATGAAATGGGAGAAACCCACACGTTTTGTTTCATTAGGAGATATTTGATAAAATGTTGTTACCTGAAACAAGAAGTAATCCCCTTGCGAGATATTACGCTACTCTTCATGTACTCTCCACTATTCAGTAATCGTACAACGCGTCCCGTCCTAGGAAGATATTAAATCGGCAATAATCTGGACCACTTTTCCGCTTCTTGTAATATTACAGATTAAAATTGCTTGAGATGATCACGTAATAAAGGTCAGGAGTTGGGACTGGCACTTAGATGGTTGTTGAAAAGAGGGAATATTTACCAGTGTCTTATGGAAAAATCAATTAGCAGCAACTAAGGCCACGAAAAATGGACGTTAGTTGACGTGACCGCTTAATCGAGGTGTCCGTTGATTATTTTCACAGTAGTAGTGTTCCAAACCCACACGCGTAACCGAAAATACCCTACCCATCTTTTATTTAAACTTATTCAGTTTTTGTACGAAAATCTCCAATTAATTGTGTTAGCGTTGTTAGGTTTATATCAGATGTTTACTGTTGCCAGTATATTGCTTTACATAAAATATACTGGCAACATTAAGTATCTTATAACCTTAATCAGCGCTAACATACTCCTTTTCGGATCCACGATTACATAACATCGTCCTAAATGGCAATTTCCTTTCAAAATTTGAAGCCATTTTAAAGAAAATAGGGCTTAAGAGCTACGTGAATTCAAAATTTGAAGCTCATTTCCGCAGAAAATGTTTGATTTTTCAAAAATATTCATTGGCAGTCATTTGAAGAACATTATCTCTCAAATACAATAGTGTTTACAAATTGCTAGATAAGTGCATATTAACAACGTGTGAGATTTTTCAACAAAAAAATATATATATACATATATATATATATATATATATATATATATATATATATATATATATATATATATATATACACACATATTTGTAATTTTTGAAAAAACTAAAAAATAGCCTGAAATGAACTTAATTCCATACTAAAGAGTGCAAATATCACTTTCCGTTCGAAAAATCTGAAGAAAAAATTTGGAGCCGTTTTTGAGAAAATGTGATTGAGTGGGTCTGAAAATAAGAAATTTTGGGCAGTTTTCACAAAGTTGAGTTTTTGAGAAACTTTAAATATGACAGTACTTAAAGCACATAAATATTAACGCTAATATAAATATTAACAACATGAAAGACAAGTAAAAATATTACACTTTTGTAATTTCTTTAAAATTAAAAGAATAGAGCAATATAGCATTTGTCATCTCATAGAGTTCATTTAGTACTATCCCTATCAAAGATTTAAAGAACAAACTTTGAGCCACTTTTGAGATTTTTTAAAATTATTATTTCTTAAAATTTAACAAATTATTTGCAGTATTGCGTGAAAACTATTAAAATTTTCAAAAAAATATAAATGATCTTAATGAAAGATCTAATTATGGACAGCAAATTTCATTTCAAGAAAATACAGTGAACGGTTTCGTGCCTAAAATCACTAGACACAAGAACACTCAAATTAACTCTCAAAAAGAAAGAGTATTTCCTGTTTATTAAAGACTATAAATATAAATAAAACTATAAATTCTTTCAATATTGTAAAAAACCAAAAATTACATTTTAATTGAAAAATTTATTAATGTAGATTTTAAAATGTGTATCCTACAGTTGTGTATAAATATTTATGATCATAGTAAATGATAATCACTTTCGATATTTAAAAACTAAGAAAACTGCATCACTTCATTAGAAGATATTGATTAAAAACAACTGATTTTACCTGAAACAGAAAGTAATCTCCTTGTGGGATACATTACTCTGTCATTATTCAAAGTAATCTGGTAGTAAGTCCTGTCTTACAAAGATATTAAATTAACAGTAATCTCCATTTTTCTGCATCTTATTGTATTACTTTACATAACATTTGTTGTTTTTTATCAAGCAACTGATAACTTTAAAGCTTAAATACAATATCTAGAAGTTAAAAATGAGATGACACAGCAAGTAGAAAAAACAATAAGGTGACCTGTACACGTATGTATTTACTCTGGATATGGATTGTTGGGAAATTGGTTAACATATGATACATAAATATTATAATATGAATGATTCTATATTTTCTCTCACATTTCAGTATGTACAGTCTATGTATGTACAAAATGTTAAGAATACTTTTTCATTTGTCTTATCATTTTCACCCTGCTTTGTTTATGAACATAAACATACAATATAATTTAAGTTTCTGTTTAATCACTGGTATAATAACAGTGAAAATTCAAGAAATAAACACAGGAAAACTCATGTCTATATCCTACATGTTTCTTTATTTTAAAAAATCACAATGGCAACATACTAACATGTTTCAAAACAAATTGCTTTTTCCTTCTCCAAAACATACGCACATAGCACCGCTTGTTTACATGAGCAAGTGAGATATTTTGAAATTCCACTCCTGCTCGTTTTTTTTTACAATAGAAGTATTCCACTTTATTACAATCATTATAAAAACACATTTAAAAATAATTTTAACAGCACCTAAATAAGACTGTAGCTCTTTTATGATATAAGCGTATTTTGATATATATTATGTAATAAAAGTATTGGTCTACTATAATACATTCTAACACACTGAACAGTAAATGCATGTAGAGAATCACTTTTATGTGGCTGAAGTATGACTGAAATAAAAATTAATCAGATAATAAGCAAAGTATTGTATGAAATAATAAACAAAAAAGTTTTACCAGAATACAAAAGACCAAGAATATCACATACAAATAATTACAATTCACAATGTTAACAGCTCTTGTTAGGAAGAAATTAATTTTATGTAGCTAAAGTACATAGCTGCTACTTGGTTTATTGTGCCATTTTTTCTCATTTTCAAACATATGTAAACTGCATCCTGCAATTCAATAATAGCTTGCAACAAATCTAACATGAGATATTTTACTAATAAAAATGTGGTTAAAAAAATATTTTTTGTTTATTCTATTCCCATAAATACATTTCTTGGCACATCAAGCAACTACTTAAGATTTAAAAACGCAAATAAATAGCTAAGTTATTTTTTAAATTATAATGCACAATGGCAATATCCAGAATTCTTAGATAAAAATTAGTATATTTTATTTTTAATTATGTTTTTAAAATTAAGAAATTTTTATTGATCAGAAATATTAGAGAGAGGAGAATTCCTTTTATGTAAAAATAAAAGTAGTCTATCGCAATGTTTGCTGCAAAGAAAGAAAGGAGGAAAGAAAGAAAGAAAGGGGGAAAGAAAGGAGGAAAGAAAGAAAGAAAGAAAGAAAGAAAGAAAGAAAGAAAGGAAGAAAGAAAGGAGGAAAGAAAGAAAGAAAGAAAGGAAGGAAGGAGGAAAGAAGGAAAGAAAGAAAGAAAGAAAGAAAGAAAGAAAGAAAGAAAGAGGGCAAGAAAGAAAGAAAGGAGGGAAGAAAGAAAGACAGAAAAGAAAAAATAGTCCTTGTTCATTAAAAATTATATTGACACTTTCTCTTCACTCACCACTCAAACTATAATTAAATGATTTCTGAAGACTTATTAAAACTGTTTTTAATATAATTATGAAGATGTAATAAAACTAAATGAAGATTCAAGATTGTGCCTCAAAATTCTATGATTACACGATCATAATGTCTTAATAGTATATTTTAGCTGCCAATGTGAGGGAAAAAAAGAGAGAGAAAAAAACCACATTTTTTTTATAACTTAACTGAATTCTTAATAAGTTATGTTACTTTAGTTCTAGTCAATGCAGTTTACATAAGTGAGAGAAAATTATGGAATGTGTAAATATGTGCATTCACTATTATATCAATGTAACAAAATAGGAAAATATTACTTTCCCTTAGCAATAAGATTTCCTAAACAGCCACAAAATACAAAACATAACACAACTTAATTTCTGAACCATTTTACAATAGTATCATACATTAAAAATTAGCGGCACTGTTTTCAAATTGTGCTCTTGGAGCAAAGTAGTCATCAAACTATATGTAATAATACATAAGCCTATTAATAATGATCAGTGCACTTATGCTATAATTACACTTCCATAAGAAGTACATTAACAGCAGTATAAGGAAGAATAGGCACATCTACTGGCAAGAAACAAATGTATTAGCACTCTCACTGAAACTTCTGTGTTTTGACACAATTATTATAATATAATAGCGATAATAAAAAAATCGAACATTTATAACTTTACAAGGAAGGACACCCACCTGACAACAATCAAAATACTAAAAGACAGAGAAAATAAGTTAAGGTTTTTTCCCCCAAAATGTGAGAAACACACCATAGTTTGGTTCCATCATTCTCTTTCACATTCATACTTCATTTACACCATTTCGACAGTCCAAGACTCTTTAGACACAGAACTGTTGCAATTTGTGGAGGAAGACATCCCTCTTTATGTGTACAGATGTTGATCTCATTAAACCTGTACATTAACTGCAAGTTTCATGGTATTTCTTACAGCTAGACATGGTAAAATTTAATATTCTGTTCAGATCAAACAGGGAATAGTTTTAAGATTATGGCAATTATATAATATTAGCACAACTATTCATAAAATACAAGGAATCTCAAAGCTACTAACATTTTTTTCATTTTAAACTTTACATATAAATTCTTAAGGACATGATAAAATAACCCTGGTGCAAGGATACTAAGGCATGATTTTTAGTGACAACATAATTGCTTATAAAAGAATTATTACAAAATTCAAATTTTACCAAGAATAACTGTAATAACCATCAGCTGTGACTTTAAATGGCATACATCATCAATAAGAGTAAATTGAGATTTGTATTAGGCACATGTTATAATAATATAAATATATATCTAAAAAGTTAATGTTATAAGTACATTTAAAACATCTTGACTTTTCGTATCACAGATAAAATTCTCCTCCTTAATGTAATGAAAAAGTCAAAATGTCTCAACATGTTTGCATTTATCATAAATATAATTGTACGATCTCTAATTTAAAGCCACAGATTAAAAGAAACAGCAAGCCAGTTCATTGTCCAATACCTTACACATAAGGATGTGGACATCCATGGACACCCCAATTCATAAATATTTGTTGAGAACTTTGTGGTACTGTTTATTGGTTGTAATAATAACAACCAACATCAAGGCTTACAAATTATTTAGAACTACAATATTCACTGTACATGTAAAAAGTACATAATCAGTGTATGTGAATGACTATCTTTATCTGTCCAACTTTCCTAAGCATCAGAAAATACTGCATTCATTTTTCACGGCATGTGAATTGGTCCTCCATTACTACAACATTCTGTGTCCTTAAATGACTTTACTGCATATGAAAGAAAATTTAAACACGGAAAAGAAAAGAAAAGAAAATCAATTGGAATGATTTCTTCTAAGGGTATAGAATTAAATTTAGAACTTAAAATATCTACGTTATGTACAAAACATTAATACCAATAAACTAAAATAAATGAAACAAAATATCAAATTATACCTTAAACAATTTAGCAGATTTAATTTTCAATTAATCATGGCTTTGGTCTCAGAAGTTTATTATTTATCAAGGTAATTAACTTCTAGAAAACCCTGTGCTCATGATCAGTAGACAAGGGAAAATATAAGTTTATGGGACTAATTCCTGTCTAGATAGGTCAGTATTCAGTCAAGTTGATAATTATGATAAAAGAACAAATGAATGTACAGACTTGGAAAAAAAAATATAAATTATTTTGTGAAATGTTAAGGACACAAGTTTCTACACAACTGATGAAATTACCATCAACTGTTATCTAGCAAATGTTTCTCAGTTCAAAAGCATTTTCCTTTAAAAAATTTTGTGCAGTATAATATATTTTTAATATAATATTTCTGGCAAAAAATATGAAAATTCAATTAACAAATTTTCCAAACATAATTATTTTGAAACAATTTTTAAGAGAAAATCACAGAATAACTTTGGATTGTGTATTGTATTCTTTAGAATAATAAATGAATCTCACAATTAAGCTAACAATTTTATTATAAAATAATGACATGAGTAAATGTTTAAAAACACATCAGAACCCAAAGATACAGAAACAAGAATGGATCAAATGCTATTGAACTTAGATCTTTTTATGAGAATAATTAAAATGTTTTCCAAATGTCTGCACAAGGAAGAATACTAAAGGTCTATATTGGCCATAACATGAATAATTCAGAATCTGACAGGGTCATTTTAACTATATACAATTTGACAATTTTTATTTACTATTATGAACCATCAAAACCATTCCTCCCATGTTCCTCTTCTAATTTTTGTACAGTCACAGCAATTTGAAATGTGACATATCAATAACTTGCAGGTACATAGACTACTCTTCATTGCATACCAAATTCAAAACTTCACACATTTATTGTTTACACATGATGAAAATGTGACAGATTTTCTAGTTCCTGTAATAGCAGCGACTAAAAAAAGTACATATTCTGAAACTGACACCTATCTTTTATTTATATATATATTGATATAAAAATAAACATATGGGCAAAAATAACTATGCATGAATACAAATGCAAAAAAGTCAAATTTACACTGTGCAGTGCACTCAGAACTTTACTCAATTTTAAACAGACACCATGTTGTAGTGTGAAATGTTTACACACACTACTAGACAAGGTAATCTCAGTATAGACTGAAATAATTATATACAGTTTCAAAGTCTAGTCAATATTTCATAATGCAGACTACTTTAAATAAGAAAAAACTCAAAGTCAGTTTCAGTATATTCACATTTAGAGTACTTTGAACAATCCAATTATTGCACTGAAATGTGGAAATCAATACATTCCATTTGGTCAACAGTCTTTGTTATTCTTCTCTTCATGTATTTTTGTTTATCCACACATGTCTCAGTAAAACATCTTGTAAGTTTTCAGAGTACAGTAAATATCAATCTGTTTGCTGTACCTTGCTTTGGCCACAATGGTTTTTAGTTATACTACTCCAGGTTTCATGCTAAGCTGGCTAGTGGTAGGATCATAATAACCTGCCAGATAATATATGTCATTGTTGTCATAAATTGATGAATATCGTTCTGGTTCAGTTCCAAGACGGCCAGTATAACCATCCAGTGGTAAAACTTCACATTTATGTGAGATTGTTTGAACGTCGTTTTCATCCACATGAGGAGACTCAAACAGTGCACCCTATATGAATAGAAGTATCATTGTTAGTTATCACAAAATTTGATAATCAAAGAGAAAAGCATTGTAGCATCAATTTCTCAATAATTCAAATTATTTTCAATGTTAATAATGTTTTCAATGTTTTGTGTATCAATATAAAATATTAAAGACTTTTTACAGTCGTATGAACAGAAAAGTTAAATAATTACATACTTCTATTTAATTTTGGAGATGACAAAATTTCGTTTTTAACAAGAACTAGTTAAAGAGTATCAGCTCAATTTTAATTTCTTTCAAAGAACTAAGGATTATTATATAAAACATTCATCACAAACTATTCATTATTTTGCCTCAGAAGGGTGTAAGTTCTAATCCAAAGCACGAAGAAATTAAAGTTCACTTACTGGGTACTTGAGTTGTACAGTGCAACCATTGGTTTCTTCAGGGTGATAGAACCATTTTACTCGCACAACCATATTTGTACCCCAAGCCTCCCACATTGATTCAATACGTCCAATGTATGGGCGATCTGGTCGGCCAGTTGAAAGAAATACAGCACAATCGCCAACCTTATAAAAATAATTACAACTTGAAGTTTCATAATGAAACTAGCATTTCAATTTATTAACATTGAGAGGAATTTAAATTATTGACATACCATGATAGTTTCCTTTCCCCGTTGAATTGCTTTATAAAACTCCTTTTTTCCTCGTCCTTTTGCCCCAGGTCTTTTGAACCCACGTCCTGACCAGCCCCATAGTTGGCGTGCAGGCAAAAAAGCAGCTATCTTGCTGCGATTTTCTACAGATGGCTGTCTGTCCCTGTGTTTCTTAGGCTTGCCAGTTTCCTTATCTTTCTGGATATCAGAATAAAAATAATGCAGGCATTACACAGAAACAGTTTTTATCACAATTTTATTTAGTGCACAGAATTTTTACTTACTTTGGCTTTCTTTCCAGGAGACAAAGGACCATCTTGACATGATATAGCTGAACCATTTTCAGTATCTGCTGTAGAAGCACTGTCCTTGTCTGTTGCACAAGAAGCCGTGACATTAACAGTTGTTGAAGTAGTGGTAGTAGTAGTTGTCGTGGTAGTACTTGAAGAAGAACCAGTACTATTAGAATTACAAGAAGTAGTAGTGGAGGTGGTGGTAATAGTGGATGAGGCAGTAGCTGCCGTAGTAACAGCAGCAGTAGTAGGTGCTGCAGCGATTGACACTGTTTCTTTATCAGAAGTATTATTTGATTTTGGCCCTTCAGAAGATACCAAAGTTGAGGATCCAGAAGTTGCTTTGGCATGAACAGTGGGAGGAGCTTCTGGCTCCTCCTCATCTTCACTACCAGTGCTTGCAGAAGTACCACTAGAACTTATATCCACTTTAGCATTGGTTGTAGTACGAGATGAGTTGTTGTTGTCACCAGATGTCAACTGCTTAAGAGCTGTTTGTTGGATTTCTAAAATATCCAGTTGTTCTAATACTGGAGATAATCTGGTCAATGCATCACTTCTTCCATTACCTGAAGGACAAACAATTATTTTTCATTTATATATATATATTACACTGTATGATTCAATTCCAAATATCCATTCAAAAACAGTTTGCACTATATTTAAGTATCTAAACACATCACTCGGATAAAATCTTATGAAGATGAGAGAATATGCAACGAAATTTGAAAGAGAAAGAATTACTCACCAGACTTTGATGAAGACTCACCAGAAGAACCACTGCTTGAATCTTTATTTCGATTACCATGTCGATGCTTATGTTTTCTGTGCCTCTTGTGATGTTTCTTATGTTTACAATGTTCCTCAGAACACCGATGTTTCTTACGACGCTTCTTTAAAACAGCATCAGGAGTCAAACTACCGGCACACGACAAAAGTTTCTTAAGCTTTTCCTTGCGACGCTTTTTCAGTCTTTTGCGTTCTTTATTGGTTCGATCAATATTGTCTGACTTTCCATAACTGGTTCCGGATTCCAACTTTCTCATTTCTTCATTTAGAAGAGATTTTGACGTGATATTTCCACCTTCTGACTTTTTAGAAGCAGATGAGCATTTATCTGATGGATTTTTCCCACTATCATTTTCAGTTTTGGTTTTCTCACTTAATTCTCCTGACATCTGGAATTACCAATTTAAGCAATTGTAAATCTTGCCAGGAGGTTATTTCAAAATAAAAAAAAGAAATATTACTGATCATCAGTGGCAGCTGGTGCTGAAAATCAGCTGTGTGCAGTTAGCAGTGGTACAGCCAGCTTTTCTTCTGCTTGGTGCAAATAAAATTTTCATCCCCCTTCCCAAGTTATGCAAGTATTTTGATAAAGTAATTTTTAGAAATTGTTTAATATTAGACATTAAAATTATATACAAATCTGGATTGCCATTCCTAGTTTAAAATAGATTGATATGAAATTAATAATACTTAGGTACACCTAATATATTAAAACATAAAATTGTAAAAATATTATATTGCTTTGATAATGAAGCTTTTCATTGGTAATTTGGTGTTAATTTACTTTGTCAGGCAATTGTTAAAATATAAACATTAAAATTGTTTCAAACGTTCAAGTCCAAGGCTTCATTCAGTACTGTGAATATTGATGCCTTCAAGAACTTAAAAGGCCAGAATTTTGGCACATGATCACAACACAAATTCTCATACTCTACATAGTGTCATCAAGCATCCTCATTCAAAAAAGCACATGTCAGACCACTTGCGCATGTTAAGAATAATCAAAACCTATCTCCATAATTGTTAAGCCAGCATTGTGATTGATGAATTAATTAAATATTCTGATATTTTTAAACATAATTGTTTTATTTATTAAAGAAAATGGATAGTATGCTGCAGCATTTATGTACCGGCTGCCACTGGAGAAAATACAAAATAGTATTACCTGCTTTGTTGATGAAAAATTATTCTTAGCTGAAGAATTTGGAACATTTGTATTAGTGTTAGAAAGTGCCTCTGCATTTGCACGTCTATCCTTTGAGTCTCTGTCACAACTTGCTCCAGAATTGCGTCGGCGGCGTTTACCCAATGTTAGCAATGGGTTTGGATCATATTCTAAAATACAATATTATTTTTGAATAAGTCAATTGTAACAGAATTTTCAATTAAACAATTAAAGATTAACATATGACAATTATTACAAATTTCAAACTTAATATAAACACATTTTGAAATATAGAAATGAAAGATATTCTTTAATAATATCTTTCTTTCATTTCTACACATCTATTTAAATTTAAAATTTCTAGTCTGAAGAAAATTAAGATAATAATCAATATTAATACTTGGTATTTAAATTGATAATCATAATCTTACCAAGTGTTGGATAGTTGGGAGGTAAAAGCCTGATATCATCAATATTTATCCGACCACTATCTCCATCATCAAATTCAACATTTACAAAATGAGAATCTAGCTCTGGATCTGGAGAAGTTGGTTGTGCCACAGTTCCTGGATATAAACAACGATACTGCTGACTCCAATAAGCACACAACCGTGTCCCAGGTGTCAGTGTAGCAATGCTTGAGGGACGTACTTCTAAGATCTGTAGAACAAAAAAATATTCAATCTTATATTAATGCTTGCATGTACTGAAACTGGAAACACTAAAAATAGTAATAAATTTTATAAACATTTCTCATATACAATCACTCTATTTCATAAAGTTATGTATTTAACATTTTACTTACAGCATCTCGTAATATCTCTTCACGGCTATAAATATGTGGTCTGTTTCCACGTTCTCCATCAATTGTAATGCCATAGACATCTGGAGCACGAATCGCACTTAATGTACCAGCGTAAAACAAACCTCCCATCACAGTAAGGGCTCGGAGTTTCTCTTCATTTAAATGTGTTTGGGTAAGTACACATGAAGAAGCTGGAATACAATTTTTTAAACCTTTCATTAAAACTTATATAACAGTATATATTTATGTACTAAATGAGAAGGATGAATTTTGCTTTAGCTGAAGTTTCATAAATTTATTCACAAAAACTACAGTGAAAGATTAGATTACATTAGATGCTTCACATACCTGGACTAATGTTATTGTTGCTTAGCTCAGCTTCATTATTATTATTTTTGTTATTGTGATTATTGTTGTTATTATTATTATTGGTTGTGGTGGTGTTATTGTTATATTTTGCACTATACATGCTAAGTGGTATGTCTTCTCCTTCACTTGTGGTACCACCTGCAGAACCTTGATTGGCGCTACTGCCACTACTGCTGCGTTTGTGTTTCTTGGGTGCACTGGGCAGATCAGAGGGGGATTCTTTCTCTCGCATCTGATTAGAAGCTTTGCCAGTTGATGCTGATGTTGTTCCTGTGTTAGTAGACTTTTTGAAAGCTTTTGGACATCCTTGAATTGATTTGGAGTCACTGAGACTTAACTTTCGTTTATTTATTCTGTTTGCTACTTCTAATGATGATTTCACAATTGATTTTTCAGTTTTATCCAATTTTTTTGCCCACTCATCTTTCAATGCTTCCCTTGAACGAGATACTTGTTCTGATGTCCAATCCATACTCTCTGGATCATCTTCTTCAGCCCACGTCCAAGTTTTGACCTGTTAAATACAATATATGATTTACATTCAATATCATGTATATTATGGAACTAAAACAATGGAAATATAATCAGAAATCACTTTATGAATTAAAACAAGGGTTTTTTACCTTTGCTTCAGCTTTGAGTTTAGGACGAATTTTGTTTGGTTTATGATCAGATGCTTCATCTGATTTAATTATCTTTGCCTTGGCAAAACTTGGTGGTAAAAGATTTGATCCATTGATTGGACTAATTTTACTTCCATCAGCACAATTTTTTATTTTGTTACTGCAATAAGACACATCCAGAGATTGTCCAAAGGTTCGTATTGGAGTGGACGATGATGATGATGATGAAGTGGAAGTTGGTGAAGACTGGAGGGCATTATTAACTTTTGCATTTCGGGATCTTGATAACAAAAATCCCACTAAACTGCTCTTAGATTTT